AATTTTGGAAAGTTTGACCGGGAGTGGACTTTTTGTTATCAGATTCATATTGTGATTCCGGGAATTGGAATAGATTCGTTATGTTATTTGGGACTTGTGCGCAAAATGTGAAGTCATTCCGGATTGATTTGCTATGTTTCGGCATGAGTTATTGAATTTGAAAGCTCAAAGTTCATAGATTTCGATTTGAGGTGCGATTCGTCATTTCGATATTGTTATGCGTGATTTGAGGCCTCGAGTAGGTTCGTGTTATGTTATTGGACTTGTTGGTATATTCGGACGGGGTCCCGAGTGGCTCGGATGAATTTTGGACGAGGTTCGGATCATTTTACTTCATGTTGCTATTGCTAGTTCTGGTGTGACCGCACCTGCAGCTGGTTTGTGCAGGTGCGATGGTTGCAGAAGCGACTAAGGGGTCGCAAGAGCGTAAATAGTGCTGGGTGACGAAGACAGCAGAAGCGGAGATTTGGGCGCATATGCGGATGCGCAAGTGCGAGGTGATGGAGCGCAGGAGCGAGGTATTTCGCAGGTGCGGATGCTGACTCGCACCTGCCATGTCACATAAGCGGATATGTTGTACGCAGGTGCGAGGGTCGAGTCCTCAACTGATTCTTCAGAAGCAGAGGTTATTTCGCAGAAGCGACGCCATAGAAACGGCTAATGTGTCGTAAGTGCGAAAATGCTGGCAGAAGCTATAAATCGAGGTTTTGGTTCTTTCTTCATATTTTGAGATGTGGGACTCAGATTGAGGCGATTGTTGGAGTAGTTTTCATCCCAAGGATTGGGGTAAGTGTTCTCTACTCAGTTTTTTGCTATATTTGATGAATCTACCTTCGTTTGTTGTAGTTGGATTGTGAATTTTAAAGAGGAAATTTAGGGTTTTGGCCTAAAGTTTCATAATATGAATTTTTGAGTTTTGAACATTGAATTGGAGTCGGATTTGAGTGAAACTAGTATGGTTGGAATCGTAATTGAATGTGTTGTTGAATTTTGTAAATTTTGTCAGGTTCCGAGGTGCAGGCCCGAGTTGGGATTTTGGCCGATTTTGGGCTTTTGATTCAAGATTTGATCTTTTTTTATCGGAATTGGTTCCTTTAGCATTGTTTGATGTATTTGAGTTGTTTTGGTTATTTTCGAGCCGTTCGGAGGTCGGAACACGCGGGATGGAATTTAGGAGTATCGCTTGGCTTGCTCGGTATTTGAATTGGCTTGTTCGAGATAAATAACTCTTATAATCTTAGTGTTGAGGGTACGAAACCCCGAATTACGTGTTATGTGATTGGTATTGAGGTGACGCACATGCTAGGTGACAGGCGTGTGGGCGTGCACCCTGTGAATTGTGACTCCGTTGTTTCCACGGCACTGTATAGTGGCCCTATTTTGGTTGATATATGTGTTATCACCCTGTGATAAAATAATTGAGCTTTCAATCATGCTAAATATCATGTTTAGGCTTTATGCTGATATTGTTAGGACCCATAGTGGTCGTTTCTTGCTGTCATCTCACTGATTTCATTGATATTTTGTACTCAGTCATATTCATGCATTTATATCATATCTCACTCTTAGTTATTATTTATTGATACATCATATCATTGTTGTCAGGCTAGTTTCATGACATTGTGAGCCCGTGAGTAAGACTGGAGAGATTGATAACTGAGTGAGGCCGGGGACCAGTTTGTGAAGATATTGATACTATAGCACGTGAGTTGTCCGTGCGGATCCAGATATTGATACTATAGCATGTGAGTTGTCCGTGCGGATCCAAAAATTGATATTATGACAAGTGAGTTGTCTGTGCAACACGTGGGTTGTCCGTGCGGATTATAGTGCTTGGGCTATAGGAGCCCCTCCGGAGTCTGCACACCCCCGGTGAGCGCAGTCGACTATATATATGTGGATCGGGTTGCATACCGCAACAGGCCTTATGGTCATATATGGACCGGGCTGCACGTCGCATCAGGTATTGAACATCGCTTAGTGATTGAGTGTGCTGAGTATTGAGCATAGTGAGAGAGAATGCGAGATAGTGAGATTGAGTACTCTGAGAGTGTGAGTACATAAGCTCATCATTGAGATGCATTACATTTGACATGCGTACTTGATACATGCATAGGGATGCATTTCCTTCTACTACCTAGTGTTGGTGACATTTATGATTTTACCTGTATATTGACATGTAGGCATAGAGACGTACTTTCCTCATGCTATCTGAAAATGAAACATCTTACTTATTATTGAAAGGAGGTTTGGTAAAAATCAAAGTTTTCAAACTTACTCATATTTTGGCATTTTCGGTAAAAGATTTGGGTTTTCACTGAGATATTTTAAAAGAAATGCCTATTTTCTGGAATTGTGAATGAACTAAGCATTTTATTTCCGAGATACCTCTTTTATTACTTGTACTATGTTGTTATGAACTGTGGTGGAAATATTGGTGTTGGACCCGACCTTTGTGTTAGCTCGTCACTACTTTCAACCTAAGGTTAGGTTTGTTACTTATTGAGTACATGCGGTCGGTTTTCACTAAGATACTTGAAAAGAAATGCCTATTTTCTGGAACTGTGAATGAACTAAGCATTTTATTTCTGAGATACCTCTTTTATTACTTGTACTATGTTGTTATGAACTGTGGTGGAAATACTGGTGTTGGACCCGGCCTTTGTGTTAGCTCGTCACTACTTTCAACCTAAGGTTAGGTTTACTACTTATTGAGTACATGGGGTTGGTTATACTCATACTACACTTCTGCACCTTATGTGCAGATGTTGGCTGTTGATGTTGTTGTGTTCAATGGGAGCCGGATTTGAAGATGTACTTGCATCTCGGTTGTTGCTGCTCCTTGTTCATGGTAGCTTTAGATCTATAAAACTCTGTTTATGTACTTTTCAAACAGACGATGTATTTATTTTATTTCAGCTTTGTAAATTCTATTCTTAGAAGCTCATGATTTGTACTACCAGTTCTTGGGGAATATATTAGATTCAGATATTTCTTTACTTAATTGCTTTATTAAAATGTTATTGGAATTGGTTGTGGTTAATTGGCTTACCTAGCGGGTTGGGTTAGGTACCATCACGACTAGTCGGATTGTGGGTCGTGACAAGGTAGTATCATAGCTCTAGGTTCTACGAGTCATGAGCAAGTGTCTAGTAGAGTCTTGTAGATCGGTATGATAATGTCCATACCTATCTTCGAGAGGCTACAAGACATTTAGGATATACTTCCCGTCTTTCTTTCCTTATCCTGCGACATTGATTCATCTTGAAGCGTAACTCATTGATTCAGCAGTGGTTCGGGGTTTGGTAAGTGAATTTGTAACAATGTAAATGTTCATAGTAGTCAGAAGTATTTGGAGTTCAAAATGATGTGGAAGAGCTTCTTAATCAAAATCTTTAGGATTTCAAAAGGAAATGATTCAGCTATATAAGTTATCACCTACTGTTGCCAAGAATCATAAGCGTTTCAAAGGTAGTTTAAGTCATCACCTACTGTTGCCAAGAATCTTATGATTTGCAAAAGCAGTATTTGCTTGGCCTAGTCTCATTTAGGAAAGGAAATTTTATTTAGAATTGGGATCCACGAGACAGTACATCTTATGATACAATTATTTGGTAAGTATTTTTTTTCTTTAGGGTCACATTCTGTGTATGGTTCAAGAGGTGAAATCTTTTAGCTCATTGCTAGACTTTCTCGGAAGGTAGCTAAGATATTATATAGTTGGAACTTGTGATTCATTTTCAAAAAAATATAAAATTTTATTCTAATTGTGCACTCTGCACATAATTGTGCAGATCTAATGGTGCACTTCTTTTGGTGGTAGAGGCAAATTATGCAAGCAGAACTGATGATAAAAGAAAAGTTCAAAAGCTTAAAGAGTTTATTTGCTGGAGAACTTTTTCTGGTTACTTTTTATGAAGTTAGGTGCTGAATTATTTTGAAGTTAGGTGCCGAAGTTGGGATATCCGCCACTGTGCAAAGTGAGGACCTTGAGGAGATGTGGCGAACGATTCAACGACTTTTTAGGAACTATGTGGATGAACAAGAAAGAAGAAAGCATGAAGAGAAGATTAAGACCGCATTTAGGAATGACATCAACTCCCTCAAGGCTCAACTGAACCACTTAATCGGCATGCCCTGCTCTCCACCAAAAAGCCACATTTATAAAAAGGATGAAAGTGATGAAAACAATATAAATGATGATGAAGATAAGGGGGAATCCGAAGATGAGGAGTGGTTTTATATTTGGTTGGATTGTTGTTTAGTTGGATGTTGACTTTGAATATTACATTTTGAAGTTTGGTTGGATAGTTTAGATGTTTGATGGGATAATTTGGATGTTTGGATAGTTTATAAAGTGTGAAGAGTAGTACTATTTTTATATCAGATTCCATGGCTGCTTTTAGTTATTTTTCTTTCTTTCTAATCCTTTTATTTTTATTTTTTACCTCTCACACCCCTTACCCGACCTCTTTTACTTTCTTAATTACCAATTGGTCCTTTTCTACACTCATCTGGAAATTAATTGAGAGATTCCCTAAATCTATTTCCCCAACTACCCACTAGAACCTCTGTTAATTACCATTCATCATCACCCTAAGTCTGACCAAATGGCTTTCAGTATCAAGCTTCAATCCAACTAAAGAACAGAATAAAATCAAAATAAAATAATAATTAAAAAAAGATAGAAAAACTCAACAACAAGACTAAACCACTGAACAATTATTATGCGACTATAGAAATGAACTAAATCCAACAGATAATGATGAACACAACATGCGTATTAATTACTGAAATAGTTTATCTCTATATGAAATCCTAAGGTGTTTAATCTTAAAATTTGGAAGCTAATTACAAAATTGAGAAACTGAATAGCCTATTGTAATAATTAACTTCAAACAAGTTGAGCACCAAACATACTTTCTTGACAGAAATGGAGTAAAAGAGAGATAGGAATGAGGATGCAACTGAAACTTAAAGAAACGAGATGAGAATCATACATATTGGACTTGAACCAATCGGAGCAACAAAAATAGAGCAATTGGAGAGGAAACTTGCCAGTCAACGGGATTTGATATGATACCTGTGGCCATAAAATGAACCATAACTTACGTCAATCAATTACACTCATCAAGAGAAACCAATTAACGTAGGTTTCAAGTCCGAAATTTCTAGATTTACTAAACAACGTAATTGAAGAGTTTTTAGGAGAGATGGACTAGAGATTAAAAAATAAGAAGGGTGAGAGGATTATAGGGTAATAATTCATGATGGTTTGGAGGTGGCTCGCCGCCGTGGGCGATTTTCGGCGCCGACTTTGGGTGGAGAATGAGAGAGACGGGAAGAGTGTTTGAGAGGTCTTTGGGGGGTAGGGGGTCTGTTAGGAAATTTTTAAGGGGGGAGGCTATTGAGTTCCAAACCGTTGGATCAAAAGAGATGAAGGGCGGTGATGAATTCAACACCAAAATGGCGTCGCTCAGCCGTTGATAATGGCTTGGACCGGATAAAGGGATTGGGTTGGGGCAGTGTTGAGAGGTAATTCGGCCATCCAATTTGGCCCCGGATGTAACATGAGCAGCCCCTTCTTTGTTGTTTTAAGCTTAGCCATAACCCAATTTTGCACAATTGGCCTATTTATCTAGTTTGACCAATATTAAATTACTTAAATGGTGAATTAACAAATTAATTAATTAATTGAACCTAAAAATGCAAAGGATGATCAATGTAACCCCCTTTTGTGAGTTTTGTATTTAATCAATGCATTTAAAAATGTAATTAAACCCTAAAAATGCAAATAAAAATCTAAAAATGCAACACATGAATGATAAAAATATTTTTGAAATTTTTATGATTTTAAAATGCTCCTAGTAATAAAAAATGCAAATGATCTATTAATTCAAACATGAAATCAAATAAAATAACCAAAAAATCCAAAAATTCTATAAGAACAATTTTGGAATATATTTTAGGAGTAATTTTCATGCTGGACAAAAATTACATGCTCACAGTTGCCCCACTTTGCTCGAGAACATGGAGAGTTTTCGAGCAAAGATAAAGTGAGCAATTATGAATAATTTTTTTCCGTTTAAATACTCCATGGGAAGCTTTAAAAAAGTTTGACCGAACCTTGTTTCCGAGGTTGCCTACATATCCTTGGCTATAAAGGAATCAGGTTAGTGTAGTTCTGGAAGTTCTTGTAGCTGGGAATACCGAAGAGCTGTGATTTTACTGCTGTTGCTGCTATTACTGCTTGTTGAACTCCTTATTACACCAAAATCAAAATATAAAAGAAACTAAACATACCTATCAGCTATGAGTTACAAGATTCCTATCTATTAGTCTACTAAAGCTTAGTCTTGAGTCTTACTAGTTCTTTGTGTAGACTCTAATCCAAACCTTGACGCCTGTTAGCTGCAGGTGCTAGTTCACTTTTTTATGGCTCCATCTTGATAAAAATAGGGAATGTAATACTCATAACTTCAGTCATGTCTTGAGCAGTCCATATCTCTTTCTATTTGCTTTTGCACCTTGGATTCACTTCTTTTCTTTTCTCTTCTTTTATTCTAGATTAAGACTTCTTCTTTCGGTCATCTTAACCATGTGGCCCGAGGTAAGATTTGCTCAGACACCAAAACAAACAAATGAACAAAATTGGTAAAATGATCTCCGGGCCACCTAAACTTGTACCCATTTGTCAACCTGGTAAGTAAACTTAGGACTTTCCCACTTAAGCACCTCTACTTGATGAAATGCAACCCTCCTTGAGCGTGTTCTTCAATCGCTGAGATATTATGACACGCCACATTTTAACCTATTATTTTTTTACACCTATATTTTGTAGATCCCATTAACTAATTAGTAATAATAATTTTAAAATCTATTCCCACTCTTCTTCTAAACATGGCAACCACACTAAGCAGCGGTCACTAGCGGAATTGAGGGGAGTTGCTTTATACGATCTATTTTTTTTCTTTCTCTTCCTTAATACAATAGCTCCACTAGGACCATGGAGGAGTTGATGAGAGTTGATGGTGTCACTAATCCGGCAACCTGTCTCGCCAGAATTTCTGAAAGCTATGGCTACAACCTCTTTCTCATTTAGTAATACATTCAAAAAGTTATAATATTCTCTATGCAGAGGGATTCAGAACTCCTTGAAATTGAATCTGCCGCTGAATCTGCTGTTATCTGAATTTTTTAGACACCAATGAACTTGCTGGAGTAGTTTTGTGGGATTTGGCAGGTTTTAAGAGTACCTATTTTATTTGCAAAGAAAAAAGGGTTTCCAGAATTGCCGGACTGGTTTTGTGGCAATGAAAGCTTGAATGAAGAAGAGGAAAAATTAAAGAAAGAAAGATGAAGGGATGGGGTGGGGGGAGGGGGGTTAGGAGAGATGGACGTGAAGAAAGAAGGAGACGAAGAGGCTATCCGGAGAAATTTCCCTTTTTCTTTTTAATTTTTGGTCTTTTTTATTTATTTATTATTTTTTGTTTCTTTAAAAGGCTAAAATCACCAAATGCACGCTCTTTATGAGCGTGATAGACACGCATCTTTACCACATTAGTATTGTAATTGCCACGTAAGTATGGTAAACAGTCAGATATGTTTATTAGTAGGCATTTCATCAAGTAGAGGTGCTTAAATGGGAAACTCCTAAGTTCATTTACATGATTGACAATTGGGTGCAAGTTTAGGTGGCCCGGAGGCTATTTTTCCAACAACATTTTCTGCGCAAGTTTTTACTAGGAAACTTTTGTGAGCTATTATAATAAAATTCTAAGCTGCAATCTTTTATTGAAAGCAAGAAAATATCGGGAATGGCATACCCTGGAAAAAAATCATGATTCGTCGTGGACAATGTACCCTTATTGTCAAAATGATGCCTCAACTAAGGACTGATGTACCTTAAATTGGGCAAAATATGGTGTCGCGACCCACAATCCAGCCATTTGTGATGGAACCTAACCCAATCCGCTAGGTAAGCTAAATGATAGACAACCCAACTCAAAAAGGATAACAGAAATATACAAATCCTAAGGATTTATAAATGTAAAGCTACCAAGAACAAGAGGCAGCTATAACCGGAATGCAGGTACATCTTCAATGCCAGCTCCTGCCGTACACAGCAACATCAACTCCAAAATCTGCACGCAAGGTGCGGAAGTGTAGTATGAGTACAACCGACCCTATGTACTCAATAAGTAACAAGCCTAACCTTAGGTTGAAAGCAGTGATGAGCTCGGAAGAAGGTAATCGTCCCACACCAATAGCCAATATTAACTCATAATAATATAATAGAGGCGGTAAAAGTGATAGCTCAAAAGATATTATGCACAGCTCATTCATAGTTACAGAAAAGTAGCCATGTTTTCCAGGTATAACAGTCAAGCCCAGATATTACAACTGAAAAGCAACTAAACATGAGTTTATCAATAGAACTGTATTTCCAATTCACAACACCAGATAAGAATTTTCATTTACCAATTAGCAAGAGGAAAATACGTCTCTATGCCTACATGTCAATATACATGTCAAGTCATCAATTACCATATACCGTCTAGCATGAGAAATATACATCTTTATGCCTACGTGTCAAATGTACATGTCAAATCATGAATGTCACAGTACCGTCTAGCATGAGGAAAGATGCATCTTTATGCCTACATGCCAAGCATTCATGTCAAATAAATGATTTCATGGTGAAATTCTCAGGTACTGTCACCCTCAACATACTCAAATTGTTTGTTTCAAATGCCCACTTCATCACACATACACACACACATACACAATCACTCATCACTGTACGAGTGTTGGCTCATAAGCCCTTCACCAAAGCACGTGTATATATATTATTGTGCCTGCGCTCTCTGCTGGTATGTCAGACTTCTGAGGGGCGGATCCTGCCCAACCGCTAATCAAAAGCCTATAAGGCCTCCTGCGGCGTGCAACCCGATCCACAATAATAAATAAGCCAATAAGGCATACTGCGGCATGCAAACCGATCCACAATAACACTCACAATACGGCTCTCAGGCCCACCTCAGTCATCAATCTCTCAAGTCTCAAGGGCACACAATCTCGTACCACTCAGCCCAAACAAGATAACATGTGATGTAACAGTGAATAATGAACAGAGACTGAGATATGATATGCAAATGAAGAATCATGACTGAATATATAATTATAGTTACAGTAGAAAACTCAAAATAATAGAAATAGCCTCTTTAGGTCTCAATCGAATAATCACATAGCCTAAACATGATTTCTAACATGAATCACAACTCAATTACTCTAACAAGTACGAATTACATAGATAGAACAAGATATAACATCAAAACAAGTTTGATCATAGTCTAATAGTTAACTTGAATCATGATTACCTCGGTGCACGCCCACACGCTCATCACCTAGCATTTGCGTCACCCTAATACATCTCTTATAACATAGTTCCCAGGGTTAAATAGCATCAAGTTCAAGTTTAGATATGTTACTCACCTTGAACCAGTCAAATCAAATACCAAGCAAGCCAAACAATACTCTAGAAACTCCATACCGCGCGTTTGAACCTCCGCACGGCTCGAAACTAGCCAAAAGCAACTCTAAAACATCAAATAATGCCTAAGGAAACAATCCCAAATGATAAAGGTCGAATCTTTACGCATTTACTCAAAGTCAACCAAAGAGTCAAATACGGGCCCGCACCTCGAAACCTGATAAAACTCACAAAATTTGACGACCCATTCATTTATGAGTCCAACCATACAAATCTCACTCAAATCCAACTCTTAATTGACGTTCAAAACGCAAAAAATCACTTTAGGAAAGTTTAGACAAAACCCCCTAATTTCTCTTTTGAAATCATCAATCAAATGCCAAAAACGAAGATGAAATCACGAAATATAATCAAAACCGAGTAGAAAATACTTACCCCAATCCATGTGGTGAAAATCGCCTAAAACTCGCCCTAATTCGAGCTCCATAGCTCAAAATATGATAAAATGTCTAAAACCTTCGAAATAGAGTACTTATAATCACTGAATAGTAATAACCATCGCGATCGCGGGATTTCCTTCGCGATCGTGAAGAACAATTGCAACTACCACCAAAAATGCTTAACGCGTTTGTGATACTGTCCACGTGAACGTGATGACCACGGACACCAACGCTCTACGAATGCGACCTAGCTTACGCGAATGTGTTGAAGAAGCCCCCAGTTCTCAGCTTTGCTCTATGCGAACGCGATGCCACATACGCGAACGCGAACAGTAACCAATACAAACCTACGCGAACGCGTTCTTGATGTCACGAACGTGAAGAAGAAAAATACCTGGCTCCAGAATTCCTCTACGCAATCGCGAGCCTAGCTCCATGATCGCGATGCTCTGTAGACGTACTAGCAATCAGCAATATAAAAACCATCCATAATGATCTGAACCACGCCTAAAAGTCACTCGAGCCCCTCGAAACCCCGTCCGAACATACCAATGAGTCCCAAAACATAACACGGACCTACTCAAGGCCTCAAATCACACATAAAAACATCAAAACCACGAATTGCACCTCAAATCAAAC